GGTTTAGGATTTGTGTGATCATGTCTCTTTTTTAGGTTCGAGAGTAGCCCATGATAAAACCAATTTTATGTTAAAGCTTAACTTGATATTAAAAGCTTATTTTGGTTTGAGATTATTCTGGCGGTAAAATATCAAAGGTTATTGGTTAGCTTGGTATATAACCAAAGTTTAGGTTTGATATCTCATCTCGGTGTTAAAAGCTCACAAATTTTGTTTGAAGCTTGAAGACTAATCGCATCAAGATTTTTATGGAAAGGAGACTAACCACTTCTATCTATCGTTTGAAGGGAAGACTCATCTATTCTCTCTCACATTTGATGTTTGGTTAGAAGTTTTCCATAAACTTCATTTTTCCTTGTATAAGGGGGTTCAAAAGTTTAACCTACTAAAAACTCTGAAGTTTATTGGATACTCTCAAGATTAATTCTTGAGGACAAGTATAAGTCGTTTTTTAATGAACCTGTATAACTCCTAGTGTTCCTTTCTTCCCTTAACTCTTTACATTTATGTAATTTATTTTCCACATTTTTTATTTTTCCACTACATAGCTTAAAATTGTTTTCTAACTCTGGTTTTAATTCTACATTTTTTTCAAACTCATGTTTTTTCTGAAACACACAATTCACCCCCTCCCTTCGTTGGCGAAGTTACACGTCCAACAGGTTATATATTTCGTACTCAGATAACTTCAATAACCAAGACGCCATCTTTCTCATGACATATGACTTCTTCAAAACCTGGTGAATGGGGTAGTTGGTCTTTACAATGACAAGTTGCCCTTGTAAATATGGTATGAGCTTCCTTAGAGTTATCACGACCACCTACTCTAGTTTCTTGTCTTCTGGTATCTGGCCTCGATACCTTTGAACACTTTGCTCTTGAAATATACAAATTACTCAATTTTGTTTTTCTCTTGGATGAGCACAAAGCTCATCTCCTAATTAGTAATTGACAAATACAAATAGACGAGTACACCAGCCTTTACGCGTGTCAATGTGGGTGGTGTTGTCAAGAAGACCTTTAGATTTGTGAATTCCTTCTCGTATTCACTCATCCATTCAAAATTCTCTCTCTTCAACGTGGCGAAGAAATGAAATGCCTTGTCACATGCTCAAGAAATAAAATGGGCTAGGGTGTCTAGGTTCCTTCTTAGTTATTGAACATATTTAATACTTATCATGTTGATGATAACTTGACACTTATTTTTGTTCATCTTTAATTATTTATCTCTCTTCTGGCTATCATAAATCCCAGGAATTTACCCGTCTACACATAAAAAGAGAACTTGGAGAGGTTTAAGTGCATGTTTTACCTCCCAAATCACTCCAAGATTTCTTTCAAGTCTATACAAAGGCTCTCTCTCTTTGAAGTCTTCACAAACATATCATTGTTGTAGACCTTAAAGTTTCACCCTATCTGTTTTGAGAACAGCGCATCCATTAATCTTTTGTAGGTGGTGCCTCTGTTCTTTAGTCTAAAAGGCATGACATTGTAGAAGTAATTTCCATGGTTGGACATGAATGTCATTTTGGGTGTGTCCACATGATCCATATTTATATGATTGTAGCTTGAGTATGTATCCATGAAACTTAGGATCTTTTAGCCAGCTGACCCATCAATCAGCCAATCAATATTGGGTTGCAGGTATGGATCCTTAGGGAAAAGAAGTCGACGTACACGTGCCACTTGTTTGGTTACTTATGGACCAAAACCAGGTTAGTTAGCCAGGTTGAATAATTAATCTCAATTATAAAGTTATCACTCCTTAATTTCTAAACCCCTTCATTGATAGCCTCCTGCATCTCTTCGCCCTCCTTGAGCTTCCTCTAAGATACTTTTTTCACGATGGAATCAATGGTGAGGCAATGAAAAACCACTCTGATATCTATCCTAAGCATATGCGGGGTAATAAGAGAATAAGCTTATATTCCTCCGTAACAGGGAAACCAATTCCTTCTCCCTGACTTCAGAAAGAAAGGTGCCTAGTTTGGTGACTCGAAAATATAAAGGCCTAATATGGACCTCTTTTAGATTCTCTGTGGGAGTAAGTCTTTCATTCTCCGCCTCCATTCTTGGATCAAAATTTGTTGCATCTACTTCATGCACGTCTGACGGTGGAATGACGGTTGTGGCCATCCCACATCTTCTCATTTCAAGACTCTTTGATAAAATTCTTTGGATATCTCTTAGTCTTCTTGGACCACCCCAAATCTCATGTTAGGTAGAAAATACTTCATGATTATATTTATAGTGGATAGGACGACCCCAACAGATCGAGGGTGGGCCTCCCTACAATAAGAACATATGGTGATGAGGCGTCTACTACGAGGTATTCGACCTTGACAATCTTTGCATTCTTGTCCAACACAAATTTCATCTCAAGTTGGCCTTTCATATGCACCTGTTCGTGAGAGAGACTGGCCAATGAGCACTGGAAAGCTTAAATTTCATCTGGGTCAAGTCAAAGTTTATCAAATGCGACCTAAAATAAGACGTCCATTGAGCTTTCGGGGTCAATCAACATTCCCTTTATGTCTCAATTATCATATGATCAGTGATGACCATGAGGTGATTATTATAAGGGAGGATTTCAGTGACATGTATACGAACAAAAATGATTTCAGACTATGGCTTATTCTTAGAATCTTCCTCGAGGTTAGTTGGAAAATTGACTTACTTTCTAAGGATATAATTTGTTGAAATAAGAACATGACTGATCATGCATCAAAGAAAGTACACCTTGGATGTGCTAAAGAGATTCAAAGTGGTTTAGTGCACCTCAACATCAACCCCTGCAAAAAGCAATCTGAAAGTTGAGAAGGATGAAATTGAAGAGCTAGTGGGTCTAACTTTATTCAAGCAAATCAGATCCAAAATTATTCAAGCAAATCACATGATTTTTGAGATATATATATCACAGCAGGCCAAATATGCTACATGCAATTGGAATCATTAGTAAGTTTATGATTGATCCTATACCCTTACACTTTCTTGCAACCAAGAGAATTGTGAGGTACATCAAAAGAACACTCAACTATGGAGCATCATTTCCTGCCAATTCAAGTCAGCTTAATATGAATCTAGTTGACTTTTGGATGTTGTCTGGTGTGGAGATAAATAAAAGATAAGAAAAACACCTCGAGCTACTTGTTCAAGTTTCTCAATACTTCAATATCACGGTGCTCAATAATGCAACCACTAGTTACATAACTTAGAGCATAATTATCGCCTGCTGTAAAATGTTACTACATAAAAACCAAGAATATTTTTTCAGGGTTGTTGGATAATTCAATAAAAGTATGGTGGTTTGGTTTGTGACTGTAGTTTACTGCACAAACGTTTTTAATTGCCAGGTAGCTTTCCAACAACCATTTTATATTATTTATAACAATTGCTTTTTATTAGTTTTAATGTAAAAAGTAACGGTAATATTTGGATCAAACATATGCCAAATTTTAAATGACTACTTTTTCATGATCAATATATGTGCTATATGCCATAATTTTTGGATCAAATATTTGCCAAATTCAACGGCTATTTTTTTACTTTTTAAAAATGTAAGGGTCATTTTTATAATCTTATAAATAGTTACTAATTTTATTATAGTTTACATTTACAACTAGTTTATTCTTCTTTTACATATTTATTTGTCAATGAATCCCAATCAACGTAGTTCTTGGTCTAATTTTATGTAAAATGGTGGTTGTCCTCCTTCTATTCCAAATCAACAAAACAACCCATACTTTGGAAATGCACCTTTTATCTCAAATTCACACCATAACCCAAAATTTCAAAACTCTCCGTTTATCCCAATCAACTAACCCCACTATACCTCATGGAACTCAAATAGGTAGTAGTGGTGCGCAATCAAATGATGAAGAACGTGAAACACCACAATTTTGCACTCAAGATAGCTTGGAGACTATTAACTTAGGTGAAGAAGTTGCATCTGTGTCGGTTGTGAATACGCATAAACAAAGGTTTCAACAAAAAGAGGATGAAGTTCTCATTCAATCATGGCTCAATGTTTCTAAGGATTCAATTGTTGGGGTTAATCAAAAAGGAGATAGTTTTTGGAAGAGGATCGGTGAAGCTTACAACAAGCATCGTGACATCAATTACAATGAGAGGAAACCGACACAACTAAAAGGTCGATGGCACAAAATTAATCCATCTGTTCAAAAGTTTGTTGGATGCTACAAACAAGCCATGTCTACACAACAAAGTGGGAGTTCCGAGAGCAATATCATGCAAGTTGCATATAAAATCTATTTCCAAGATGAAGGTGAAAAGTTTAGTTTTGAGGCTGCATGGAGATTATTGAAAGATGAACCTAAATGGCTCGCAGGCTCATCAGAAGCTTCGTCAAAAAGAACAAAGAATTCAACTTCAGGAGCATATTCTTCATCTTCTAATCCACAAATAAGCAGTGAACACGATCCATCATCACCTACTTTGTCTCGCCGTCCAATCGGTCAAAAGGCAGCTAAAAGGAAGGAGAAAGAAAAGCTTGTTGAAATGTCTTCTACTCCCAATGTCAAATATGATTCCTTGAAAGATGACTTTAAATTTTTTTTTGATTTGATGTCAATGTTTGCACGGGACTATGCACGTATTGAGGGTGAAAAAGTTGAGATAGAGAGAAAAAAGGTTGAAGCAAAGATTAAGAAGACTGAGAGTGCTGAGGAAAGATTGAAGATGAATGATCTGCAAATACTCTCAAAAGATAAATCAAATATGGATACAAGACAACTACAGGCTCATGAAATGTTGTGCGACATGATTAGAGAAAAATATGGAGTTAATTAGTAAGATTATGTATTTTATATTTAATTAGCACGATTAGGTATTCAAACTAGCTGTTATTCAAACTAGCCGTTATTCAAACTAGCCGTTATTCAAAATCAAACTAGTCGTTATTCAAAGTAGTCTTATAAATATCAAACTAACCTCTTTACAATTTGTTATCATCTTCTACTAAATATCAAACTTCTTTTCACATGGATCCTTCCAATCCTTCCCACATTGCAAAAATGTTCACGGATTATATGAATGATGACATGGATGAAGAACTTGTGAGATTGTTTAAGGAAGAAGAAGCCTCTAGTTCTAGAAGGCCTAGACGACAGAGAAGGAATATAGAGAGGAATCGTGAAGAGGGACATGATCGATTGTTCAAAGATTATTTTTCAGAAACTCCGGTATACACAAATGAGCAATTTCGTAGAAGGTGCCGAATGCATAAACACGTGTTCCTTCGTATTGTTGAAGCTCTAGGTCAACATGATGAGTATTTTCGAATGATGGTTGATGCAACAGGTAGGGCAAGTCTTTCACCATTACAGAAATGCACTGCTAATATTTGTATGTTGACATATGGAACATCTGCTAATAGTGTGGATGACTATTTGAGAATTGGTGAAACCATGACATTAAAATGTGTTGATAAGTTTACAAGAGGAGTGATCAACATCTTTGGTGCACAATATTTGCGAAGGCCAAATGCCGAAGACATTGAACGCCTAATGCAAATGGGAGAGGCACGGGGATTTCCAGGTATATTAGGGAGCATTGACTGCATGCATTGGGAATGGAAAAATTGTCCAGTTGCATTGAAAGGGCAATACGTTCGAGGCGATCATGGGAAACCAACTATTATGCTTGAAGCAATGGCTTCACAAGACTTATGGATTTGGCATGCATTCTTTGGGGTTGCGGGTTCAAACAACGATATTAATGTTTTGAACGAATCTAATGTCTTCAACGATGTTCTACAAGGACGAGCTCCCGATGTTCATTATACAATCAATCGTACTGAATACAACAAGGGTTATTATCTATCAGATGGTATTTATCCTGAATGGGCCACGTTTGTAAAAAGTATCCCGATGCCACAGGGGGGGATAAGAGAAAATTGTTTGCCCAACATCAAGAAGGGGCGAGAAAGGACATTGAACGAGCATTTGAAGTTCTCCAATCCCGATTTGCGATCATACGTAACCCATCACGTTCTTGGCACTTAGACACACTCCAACGCATAATGAATACATGCATCATATTACACAACATGATTGTTGAAGATGAACGTGCAACATATGGTGGAAATTTTGATTTTTCTTATGATCATTTGAGTAATGATGCGACAATATTGTCGAATGATTCTAGTATTGATTTTAAAGAGTTCCTACGTAGAAGATTTGATATTCGTGATAAACAAATTCATCGACAACTTCAACAAGACTTGATAGAACATATAAGGCAACGTTATGGACACGAGGATAACAACAATTAATTTTTTTTTAAATATATCTTTTTATGTATTTTGTGCTAATAATTTATTTTAATGTATTTTTTAATGAATTATTTGTGTGATGTATGTTAGATAATCCTTCTATGTCGAATGGATCCAGACTGAATCGTGAACGAAATCACTTTCCTTAAAAGTATTTCAAGCACACTCTCAGATTGTCTTAGAGTTGGAACGGCCTGAATACCCAGGATAAGTCAGCCTTTTTCTCGAAACTGCACAAGACTGATGAAGTTTCGAATGCAAGGAAAATGTTGGAATTATATGGAAGAGGATTTCAGAATTTGGAGTGAATGATTTCGAATTATGAAGCATATATTTATAGCCATGCATGTGTCCTTTCAGAAGTTTGCAATTCTTCATAAACACACTCTCTAATGAGCATTTGCAATGGTTCACATAAAATATCATGCACCACTTCGTCAAGTGTCATGTATTTCAAATTCAAATTCAAAATCAAACTCTAGGCAACGAATAAGTCTGAGCGATAATTAAAAATTAAATTCGCAGTATACCGGCCGAAGGCCGGTCCGCCCGCCGGAGGCGGCCGGAGCGCCGCGAATAGCCCGATTGCTCCGATGCGTCGTGCCTAAGTGCTCAAGTGCCGTCTACAAGCCGCCACTAGCGCCTCTACGCCCACGCCCCCGGATCCGGATCCGGAGCCGGATCCGGAGCCGGTGTCGCCGGTGGCGACACCGGCGAGGGGTGTTTTGTATGAGACAAGTGACATAAGTTTTGGCACCACCACATGTGACTATGTGGCACTTTATCCTTTTTGGCTCTTTTGGAAATTACATTGTTCCAAGTGCCTTATAAATGCTATTTAATTTTACTCCTCTTCCAATGTGGGACTAAGCATTTATTATAACACCCACTTTGTCATTTTGGAACAACTTTAATGGAAATAAATTATTATTTCCAACAATCCCCCACTTGTTCTAATAATGACAAAATAATAATTCCAGAAATGGGACATAAGAAGTATTAATACAGTTAAGTATCTTTCGATTTTAAACTTAACCTTAGTAGGAATAACACAAGGTTTAATCGGAATATTAGGTAGCAATGCTTTTAAACCATGAATCCATTTGAATAGACCGGTGTTACCTTACACACACTCCTTAAAGATTCTTCCTCTGCATAACTCGCTTAGCACTTATTTATGGCCATGTGCTATCCTGTTTCATGAATTTTCCATGAGAGAAACTCCAACTCTCACTTTGAGACGGCACCATCTCATAACTCACATAGGTGAAGTTCATATAGTATCTGTTTCCAGTAGATACGTACCCTCGGTATTGAACTTCATTAAGAGTTTAAGATAAAACTCAACCCTCATTTCTAATGTCAACATAATTATGAAATGTTAGACAATTATCCAAATCAACGACTTGTTGGTACCCATTGAAAATCTTAACGTTAATGTTCTGTTAACTTAAGATTGGGTTGCCGCCATTGTCGGAACTCTTACTCAAGGAGTTTCAACCCCATACCTCTCGAGGTTGTTCTTACTAAGTCTCTGGCCAGTGGCTTAGTAAACGGATCAGCCAAATTATAGCTTGTTCGTATATACGTAAGTGAAATGATTCCATCCTTAATCAGTTTTCTTACGAACGAATGTCTAAGTCCTATATGCCTGGACTTTCCATTATACACTTCGCTAAATGCTCTTGCCAAAGTGGCCTGACTATCGCAGTGTATCATTACCTTTGAAACATTGTCTTTAGCCAATGGAACTTCCAAAAGAAGACCCCTCAACCACTCTGCCTCTTGACTAGCGGAAGCGAGAGCCACGAATTCTGATTCCATGGTCGAAAGAGTAATGCATGTTTGTTTCTTGCTCTTCCAGGAAATTGCTCCTCCAGCTAGTGTAAATATCCACCCAGTTGTAGATTTGTGATTTCCCACGTCAGAGATCCAACTGGCATCGGTATATCCTTCTAGTATAGCAGGAAACCTACCATAATGAAGGCCAAGATCTTTGGTTTTCAACAAATAGCCAAATATCCTTGTGATTGCCTTCCAATTTTCATTACTTGGATTACTAGTAAATCTACTCATTTTACTAACTGCAAATGATATATCGGGTCTAGTACATTGCATTAAGTACATAAGACATCCGATCGCACTTGCATATTCTAATTGAGCCACTGCTCTTCCATCATTCTTTTCAAGTTTGATTACATGATCAAATGGAGTAGTTACTTCCTTGAATTTCAGGTGTTTGAATTTATCAAGCATTTTCTCAATATAATGTGTTTGATTAAGTTCATAACCCCCACTATTTTGCTTAACTTTTATTCCTAAAATTGTGTCAACAAGCCCAAGATCTTTCATCTTGAAAGTGGAAGTTAGAAACCTTTTTGTTTCTAGAATTCCATTAAGTCTATTGCTAATTATTAGCATGTCATCAACATAAAGACACAAAAATATTACAGTGTTATTATACACTTTTGTATATAAACACTTGTCACAAGAATTAGGAATAAATCCATTTGACATTATCGTAAAGTCAAACTTTTGATGCCATTGTTTTGGTGCTTGTTTTAAGCCATATAGAGTTTTGACAAGTTTGCACACCTTCTGTTCATTTCCAGGAAGGACGTGTCCTTCTGGTTGTTCCATGTAGATTTCCTCATCGAGGTCTCCGTTTAGGAATGCTGTTTTAACATCCATTTGATGAACAATCAGATCATTTAAAGATGCTAAAGCAAACAACAACCTTATAGTGGTTGTTCTCGCTACAGGTGCATAAGTGTCAAAATAATCTATACCTTCCTTTTGTCTAAATCCTTTTGCCACTAATCTTGCTTTATAAGTGTTTAATGTACCATCACTATAATATTTCTTTTTAAACACCCACTTGCATCCAATGGATCTTGATCCCTTTGGTAAATCAACAAGTTCCCAAGTGTGGTTGGACATAATTGAATCCATTTCATCTCGGATAGCATCTTTCCAAAAAGAGGAGTCTCTTGAAGCTATTGCTTCCTTATAAGTTTTAGGATCTTCCCCTACTTGAAGAATTACCGGAATGCTTTTAATAAAATTTGTACTATTTCCTTCAACCAGATAAAATGAAATGGATTGAGAATCAATTTCGTCTGGTCCTAGGTTCTTTATTTTCCGGACTCTTTTGCTTATCCTAGGTTCGGGTCGTGGTTCATTTATTCGAGATGTGTCTTCAGGTTGTATTTCTACAATCCGAGAAGATTCTTTTTCACAAGATTCTTTATTTATGGCCGACTCTGATTCTTTAACCTTAGTTATAAGGTTTTCAAAGAATTCTACATCCCGGGATTCAACAATAATATTAGACTCTAAATTTAACAGTCTATATGCTTTGCTATTTTGTGCATATCCTACAAATGCACATCTTATCCCTCGAGGACCCAACTTGGTTCTCTTAGGATCCATGTTTTTGTAATATGCCACACACCCCCACACCTTAAAATAGCCAATATTTGGTGTCATGCCCTTCCATACCTCATATGGGGAAATTCCACTTTTCTTTAAGGGAATTCTATTTATTATGTGACAAGCGGATAATAAAGCTTCGCCCCACAAATTGAAAGGTAGTTCGGAATGCAATAACATGGCATTCATCATTTCTTGATATGTTCGATTCTTTCTTTCTGCTATGCCATTTTGTTGTGGTGTTCTAGGTGCCGAACATTCATGTATTATACCATGTTCTTCACAAAATGCATCAAATTCAGTAGAGAAGTATTCACCGCCCCTATCACTCCTAAGGACTTTTATACTTCTACTTAATTGATTTTCCACTTCTGCTTTGTAACTCTTAAAGGCATTAAAAGCCTCATCTTTATGTTTTAAGATATATACATAAGTGTATCTAGAACAATCATCAATAAATGTAATGAAATATCTATTTCCCCCACGGGTCAACATGCCATTAAATTCGCACAAATCTGAATGCACAAGATCAAGCAGATTTGTATTTCTTTCAACACTTTTGAAAGGTTTCTTAATCATTTTTGATTTAACACATAATTCACATTTATTGAAATTTTTGATATTACATGATATCAAGCCTAGTTTAATTAGTCTCTTCATTGAACTAATACCAATATGTGCTAATCTATTGTGCCATAAAGTAACTGAATCAAGCATGTAAGCAGAATTAGAAATTTCATTAATCATGTTATCAGTAATACATAGTTTGATCATTCCTTCAGCGGAATATCCTTTTCCAACAAACACACCATTACGGGTCAAGATAAGTTTGCCCGATTCATACACAGATTTAATACCCGGTTTTCCCAATAAATCCCCACTAACAAGATTCCTATTCATGTCTGGGACATGAAGCACATTAACAAGGGTAACTTTCTTTCCAGAAGTGAAGTTGAGTTCGACCGTTCCGGTTCCAACAACTTTGGATCGCACTTCATTTCCCATTTGTACTTCTTGTCCATCATTTGCCTCAGAATATGTTTTGAATGCAGCCCTGTCATATGAGACATGAACCGTGGCACATGTATCATACCACCAGCCTTGGACTTTGCCTTTGATTGCCATAATTTCGCTCACAGTAGCAATTATATCATCATTAGCATTCACTGCATTGATCTCCTTTTTTGATTTATTATGCCTGCAATCTCGAGCATAATGTCCAGGTTTTCCACATACAAAGCATCCATTTTTCGGACCCTTCGGACCACCGAAGTTCTTGAACTTGGTATGTTCCTTTTTTGGTGCGATGTGACTTTTCTTGACATCATGTTTTTTCTTTTCCTTTCTGGTCACAGCATTGGCTTTGGACAGACCCGCAGATTCTGATTTTTCCCTCTCCTTCGATTCCTCCTCGATTCGAAGATGCTTCTGGATTTTCTCCAAGGAAAAGTCATCAGAACTGTGCAACAGTTTCTTTTTATAGCCTTTCCACGAACTTGGTAACTTCGCAATGATTGCACCAACTTGAAAGGTTTCAGGAATGTCTATTTTCACCGCTTTGATTTTGT